GGTGCATGCCTTTAATCCCAGCACTTAGGAGCAGAGACAGGTGGGCAAGCGGATCTCCGAGTCTGAGACCAGTCAAATCTACAGAATGAGTTCTAGAACAAACAGCCAGGACTAGAGAAAAGCCCAGTCTCGAAAATTTTTAAAGGCCTTCCAGTGATGGGTGGGGTAGAAGGGACTCCCTGGCAGCACAGGTCAAATGGCTGCAGAGGTGAGCAAGCAGAAGCAGGAGAAAGCCCAGGGGGCAACCAGAGGCACACAGTGGGCCTAGTTTCCCTCCTGCAGGCAGGAACTACAGCCTACTACTTTAGGACTCTGAATGCAAGGGCATGACTGCTCCCAGGTAAGGCTGAGGAGATTTACTGTAGATATGAAGGAAAGCACAGCCAGAGGCCTCTGGAAGTGTAGAGCGAACTGGATGGGGGGAGGGGCACCTGGGAACCAAGAGAGCTCCTGGGAAACAAGAGGTCAAGAGGGCATGTAGCCAAAATAGCTGAGTTGTATAGGGAAGAGAAGCTCAGGAGGGCTGGAGAGGTTTAGGGTATGGGGGCAGGATAACTCTGTAACAGGTACTTGTGAGTAGGGAGAGACTGGTGGCCAGAGTTGACTTTGGTATGTTAGACTAGGCAGCTCAGTTAGCTATTTGTCTCTCTGAGACCTAACGGAAACCACCCTACTACCCTTCCCCTTCTCTGGCTCTCCCTCCTGCCTTTCTCCCTCCTTCCCCTGCTTCCTGACCCTTCAAAGGACATGCTTCATCTTTTGAGACCCTGTGACATGCGCCTCAACCTAAAAAGGCAGGTTAAAAGGCTCAAAACTAGTGGCTACCATCACAGACAGAAATGTTAACAGCGACAGGCCTTTGTCCCTCCCTGTTCCCTGCTCCAGTGCTGCCCAGGGCTCCCTACATTGCAGGCCTGGCTATGGGACCCCTGCACACAGAGGATGTCCAGCAGTGACTGGACAGATAGACGTAGAAGTGAGGCTAAGGAACACCATAGCCCAGCAGGCAATGGAGCTGGACCTCACAGTGCCAACTTGAAAAAGGTGGGGGGGGGGGAGCTACCCAGCCATTGACCCCGAGCAGGAAGCTGGCCACTCGCTGTGAGCCTCAACTTCCTGTTCCACACAATGAAAGAATGAAGAGACATATCAGCACAGAGGAGGACTGACATAAACACGGTGCCAAACCACAGGGCGACGCTGCTGCTGTCCTGATGATCTGCAATGTCTAGGAGCTGAAATCGCAGAAGAAAGCAAACAGACTCCCCTCTCCAGGGTCCCCACCAAACTTCCAAAGGGTTTTTTGCTGCTGTTATTGTTGTTGTTCCAAACTCCCAGAAAGAGGCTATGGGTGGCCATCTATGAAATGTCCACAGTCCCTCGTACCCCAAGTCCCAGCAACGGAACAGACACGGCTCAGATAGGACATATAAGAATGAGAAAAAGAGAGCATGGCAGGGACGAGGCGAGCAGAGTACATCCTTAAGTGGACAGGCACCTCACTGCCTGGCCCCAGCCCTGCAGTCAGAGCCTGGCTGCCCTGCAGCACAGCTACCCTTGGCAGTCTCCAGGACAGGACTTATCTGAACTAAAACCTATTATCTTTAATGTAACTCTTCGGAAAAACACCAGGGAAGGCAGCCAGAAAGACACTTCCGGAACTAAATTCTGGATCCCTCACGACTTGCTGGAACTGGTAGGGTGAAGGACCAAGAGCAGGAAGAAAACACTTACACTAAAAATGACAAGAACCCAAGGATTCATTTCCGTGCAGACTCCCTCAAGCGATGCCTCAAGAGCCAGCCACGATCTTCCCAAAGGATTAAGACGACACAAGGGTCAGGTCTCATCCAGGCGATCGGACAGTCCTGCTCTCTCAGCCTAACCCCAACAGAACCTGGAGGAGAGGAGGTACCAAAGGCAGCACAGGAGCCGTCAGGTCAGCTCCGTGTAGAGCCAGAGCCTCCGGACCACCGCTGGCTGCAAGCAGAGCAGGCAGCGAGATTCACACTCTGCTGGACAGACCTTGGAAGCAGTGCCCCCTGCTATCTACAAATGGGGCTTGGAGAATCCCAAAGGCTGCATTCTGGTGAAGACAGATCAGAGACACACCCACCCTGCTGGGCTCCAGAGTTCCAGAACTTAGCTACCAGGCTCTATCCTCCTAAGGTGCAAATATTATGTCTTCTACAAATGAAATCGTTAAAAAAAAAAAATGCAGGGGCTGGAGAGATGGCTCAGTGGTTAAGAGTACTGACTGCTCTTCCAGAGGACCCGGGTTCAATTCCCAGCACCCACATGGCAGCTCACAACTGTCTAAAGATCCAGTTGCAGGGGATCTGACACCTTCCTACCAATGCACGTAAAATAAAAAGTTAAATAAACCTTTAAAAAATGCAAAAGGAGAGGCTGACACCTCCCTATGACAATCTGGGTTGGCCCCTACTAGCACTAGTGACCAGACAATGGTAGCAGCGTCAATTTCTATCTGAGGGAACACTACAGTGGCTAGCCCTGTTGGGCACTTCCCACTCCCATCCTTTCTCTCCTCACAGTCTCACACATCAGGGTCTGAAGCAGTGGTTCTCAACCTGTGATCTCTCGACCCCTTTGGAGTCAAACGACCTTTTCACAGGGTCTACCGAAGAGCATCAGAAAATACAGACTTTGCATTACAATTCATAACAGTAGCAAAATTACAGTTATAAAATAGCAATAAAAATAATTTTATGGTAGGGCATCACCACAGCATGAACTGTATTAAAAGGTGCAGCGTTAGGAAGGTTGAGAAATGCCGGTCTAAGGGCACTGGGTTAGGTTATCCATTCACCCAGCAGTGGTGTAGAGGAGCCTGATCTGCCCAGTCCACCCTCAGGACTGGACAGGGACTGAAGCAGCCAACAGGCAGAGGTGGGCTGGGGGTCATATGAGCTCCTGTAGGGCAAAGCATGAGACTGGACTCCACCCCTTAGCTTGGCTACAGGGTCTGCACAGCAGGGTCACCTCCAGCCCCAGCACCCCACCCTATGACTCAAGGTCCAAGCCCACAATCCACTCCCATTTCCCATAAGCGTATGCTGGGGCAACGCCAGGGAAACAGGCTAGAGGCCAAGGGGAAAAGCCCCGGTGTAGCCCCTCCATCCCCACACAGAGCAGGCACAGTACACTCACTGCAGGGTCAGAGATGTCCTGTCAAAACTGCTGACAAGGACAAGGGCAACCCTTCTTCATAAACAGCTTGACCACACAGTTGGCCGAACGGATGATGAGAGCTAAATTCAGATTTATGTGTCTTACATCATGCATTCCGCCATAGCAAATTAGAATCAAAATGAAATTACATGAAATTATACACAGAACACTCCAGGGCTGTGTGCTGTTGAACAAAACATAGGTTTGGTTGGATGTTCCCATCTTTTTCTCTGTATGGTTATTCAATATCTGGGGTGTGGAGTGTGTGTGAGTGTGTGTGTGTCTAAGTCATCAGCTCCTCCTACCCAGAGTGCTGTGGCAAATTCATCTCAACCACTTCCAGGGACAAGACCAAGAAAGAGTCCCAAATAGATCTAACAGATTAAAAAGCCACTCATCGAACAGAATACCAAGCAAGGCACCATTCACACACCCAAGCAGAAGGAAACACAATTCTGTATGTGCATGATAATACATCAAACTCCCTGCACCTGCCCAGCAGTCAGGACCTCCATACATTACATAGAAACCTTACTACCCACTACCGGGCCTTGGCAGCTTTCTGGAACCTTGATGCAAATCTCCTAGACCCCACCCCTTCATTCGTGCATGCTTGACAAACCTACAAAATCACGCCCATAGCGCCAAGTTCTGATGATAGCTAGAGACCTGGTCCCCCAAGTCAGAGCTGCAGTGGCCCCTATATGCTTTTATAGCCAAAAGAAACCTCTAAAAATTGACCACTCATAGAAACAGACTCTCAAAATGAAGACTCCCAGGACACAGAGACCTGCTGGGGCCTGAGCACTGAACTGGCTCTGAACACCACATCACAGGGAAACCCCTTGAAGGACAGGTCTCTCAACACTTACAACAGCAAAGTTTGCTCTCTCAAGCACATCCTGGACGGGTGGGCTGTTTCCTCAAACACCCAGTCCCTGAGGATCATCCTCAGGGCAGTCAGAGCCTCTGCCTCTTCCACCAGCAGGCAGCAGCCACTGGCTCAGAGGCCAAATCAGCTGTGGGGGGAAGGGTGGGCAGCAGAGAGGCTTGAGGAGACAAACCAGATTACAGGTCGGCACTTCAACCCTCAGTGCCCCAACCAAAAGACGTTACAGTCACGATTCTACCCAACTAGAGTGACAGAGGGCTGGAGGCATGCCTTGGTTGTTAAGGCGCTTACCTAACATGTATGAAGCCCCGAGTTTGATCCCCGCCACTGCATAAACCAGTGGTAAGGAACACCTGTGACCCCAGAACCCAGGAAGTGGAAGCAGAAAGACCAGAAATTTATGGTCATCTTCAGCTACATATGGAATTCAAGGCTGACTTGAGCTACATCAGACTTTGTCTTACGGGGAGGCAGGCAGATCTCTGTGAGTTCGAGGCCAGCCTGGGCTCTTACACAGAGAAACCCTGTCTCAGGGGAAAAACAAAAACAACAAACAAAAGATGAGTTACCAACATTTTTATGGCACCTAACATTATCACTCCATACCCATTCTCATCAGGAAGCCACGAATAGTCAGAGTCTCTAAGGCCTTTGCATCTGCCTGGCCTAAGGTTCCTCTCTCTCACCAGGGGGTGGCCAGCACTCTCAGTTTTTAATGGCATCCCCTAGATTTAGATGTAGGTGGTTCCCCTGACTAAGAGAGGGAGGATCCACCCTCCTGCTCCACCCTGTCACACAAGCCTGGTTTCAGCACCTTCCCATCAGTGACGCGGCTCAACAGGCACGGGGTTGGCAGCCAGCCAGCCTGTGCGGCCCACATGACCCAGTGCAAGCGTGTGTCGAGGAGCCCACTCACCTTCCCGAAGTCTCGCACATCAAAGAGGTCAAAGGGGTCAAACAGCTCGCTGTTCCTTAGTCCAAATTTATCGTGGCAGACTTTGAGGAAGGTGCGAATATTCTTCAAACACAGGAACTGGAGAGAGAAAGAGACATCAGTAAGGGGACAGCATCTCAGAAAACATCAGTCACAGGAGCTGCAAGGTCCTGCGCGTCCATGCAGACAAGAAAAAGAGGGAATAGGCGTCTCGGCAGCAGGAGATTGTCTCCAGGCTGGGGAGGGGGACTGGAGCTCAGAAGCTCTGCAGCCTAGGTACTCCCAGGGTGGGGAGCCCTTACATTCATGTTGGTTTGCAGGTGACAGGTGACACCAAATCACAGCCAGCTAACCCACACCCTGCCCTGGCGTAAGCCTGTGCATCCCAACCCTAATGCTGAGCTCGAGTCAACAAGCACGACGGAGCACCTCACACATGTGCACATCGCGCTCATGTGTGCATGTACTCACAACTCCGTGCAGCACACATCCATCCCTTCACAGCAGCCAAAGCCAGTAGCACAACTGTGCCGCTGACAGGCAAGACCTTGGAAAGGAGCTACACTGGGCACAGCAGGAGACTGGAAGAAAAAAGGTTGTAACTCCCAAAGCAGTGCCAGGGCCAGGGTACCTCCTCTTTGGTACCATCTCCGCCACTAAGCTCCTGGCCAGCTCTGACCCTGACTTGTACGGGAGGGACAATAAGACATCAACTTCTGGTCCTTGTGGAGAATCGATTGTAAAAAAACTGACAGAAGGGACTGGAGAGATGAGTAAGAGTTAAGAGCATGTGCTGCCCTTTAAGAGGATGGGGCTTCAGTGCCCAGCATCCAGATCCAGTTCATGCAGCCTGTAATTCTAGTTCCAGAGGGACCCACCTTCCTCTTCTGGCCCCTGTGGGAACTGCATGCACACAGTGCACATAGAAACAGGCACACATTTATACACATTAATGAATTACACTTTAAAATTAGGAAATAGTCAGGCAGTGGCAGCAAACACCTTTGATCCTAGCACTCAGGAGGCAAAAGCAGGGAAATCTCTGTGAGTTCAAGGCCAACCTGGTCTACAAGAGCTAGTTCCAGAAGAGCCAGGACCATTATACAGAAAAACCCATCTCAAATTAAAAAAAAAAAAATTAAAGAAACTGAAAGGCAGAGTGGAGAAGGCCCCCTAGCACAGGCTTTGGAACACTGCGTTCCTGGTTTGAATCTTGTCTGAGAAAAGACAAACAGTGGCCCAAGCTTCTGAGGTACTTGCTAGGCAGATATTGTCCTCTGATAGCAGGCAGGGGCCAAATCGTATGTAGAAGCCATTTAAGACCCAACACAGCTGAGCATAGCATTTGAGTGGCAAGGACCCAGCACCTGCAGCCCAATAAAACCTAGGACTTTAGGCCAATCCACACCCACCTACAGGACCAACTACTAATCTCAAGTGAACTTCAAGAAGCCTGTCCCTGGCTATCAGCAGTTTGTAGACACATGAACGGATTCTGATATGACAGAGCCAGAATCACAAACATAAACCTCAGCTCTCCTGAGGGCATACAGGGCCCCCTCCCCTGTCCTGTGCCACCACTACTCTGCTTGGGTCACTGCCCACCACCCTGGCTGAGATGTTACCATTCACAGATGACACTGGCCTGGTTCAACTCTCTCTCTCTCTCTCTCTCTCTCTCTCTCTCTCTCTCTCTCTCTCTCTCTCTCTGTGTGTGTGTGTGTGTGTGTGTGTGTGTGTGTGCCTTTCTGTCTCTCTCTGTTTCTCTCTCACTCTCTCTCTCTCTCTCTCTCTCTCTCTCTCTCTCTCTCTCTCTGTGTGTGTGTGTGTGTGTGTGTGTGTGTGTGTGTGTGTGTGTGTGTATTTCCATCTGACTCCAAGTAATTTTTTTCAAATAACATTTGGGATAAATTGTGATACAGGGTGCTTTATCCCTAAACACCTGAGCATGCATAGCCTAGAATAATGACATCACTGTACATGTTCACAGCACGCTCAAATCAAGAAATGAACACGGATGCCACCCAATCTGGTGCACACTATATTACATAAAAGACAACCAGATGGCCTTTATAGAAAACAAAAAGTAAAGGCTGTAAGGGAAGAGGGGAGGGGAACAGAGAGGAGAAATATGGCAGAGTGTCCAACCCAGGACAGCACAGATATTGCTGTCACATCTCTTCTGTTTCCATTAACCCAGAACTGGATTCTACAATAGAACATTCTAGAATGACTATGTCCTTTATAACAATATCCTTTATATATTCTGTCCCATAAAGTCTATGCCATTAGACACATGTACCTAACAAGTACTTCAAATGATCAAATGAAACAGTTGAATTGCCCATTTAATTTTATTGTAATTCAGTGAAATTTAGAGGCCATGCAGGGCTGAGAACCACTGGGTAGGAAGTGCTCCATTTCTCTGTCTTCTATAACCTGATGGTGCTGAAGAGCACCTGACCCTAGAGGATTTCATTCCCATGAAGTCCCTAGAATCTAGATTCAGAGACAGAAAGCATTTTAGGGGAGAAATGGTGGTGAGTGGTGGCAGTCTGGGAACGAGCCAATCTGGTGATGAATGGACACACACACACACACACTGCTATAAATGTGCTTAAAGTATCAAGCTGCATGATTGGAAATGGGGATGGTAGGACTAGGTATGGGAGCCAACTCCTGTAGTCCCAGCACCTAGGAGGTTGAGGCAGGAAGATAACATATTCTGGGCTTGCCTAGGCTATCGAGTAAGACCCTAACTCAAACAAAGGTAAAAAATGGTTACAATGACAGATGTTTATATATCACAAGTAGAAAATTTAAAAAGAAAGATACAGAGACATCGTGACCCACAGGCAGAAGGCTACATGATGATGGACAAGAATGAGGCTGCTGCAAGCCAGCAACACTAAGTGTTACCACAGTCACCAGAGCCTGGAAGAGAGTCCTGGGGCACAGTCTCCCTCAGAAGCCCAAGAGAAAAACCACCACAATCAGACCCTGCCCCCAGTCTCTGGCCTCCGCCAGCAAGGGGACACAAGTCAGCAGAGAAGCACAGTCAAAGCAACTGCAGGGAGCAACAGAGCACACACACAGCCCAGCCTGGAAACTGGGACGAGGGGAGGCACTACACCCGAGAGCCCCCGGCGCCACCTCCTGCCCTACGGAGCACTGAGCTTCCAGCCTGGCTCGACTATTTTTTGCCCACAGCTCCTCTCTAATTTCCACTAAGCATTTATTTTAATTCCTCCCCAGCCTCCCATTTTGGAGTTAATTACACAGGTCCCAACCATAATCATGGCCAGCGAGGCCAGGCTTCCTTTCAGGGCTCAGCACAGGCCAGTACCCCAGCGGCCCCAGCCTCAGCCTAGACCCACCCTATCGCCACCCCCACCAGTGACCACTTGGGTAACCTAACCTTCAAGAGCCACGCCCCTGGAAAACAGCCACACCAGCGAGGGCTGTCTGCATGGACGAGGGCAAAGGTCTTGGACCGTAACGTGAGGATCTACCACCAGCAGGCACGCCACCTCGCCTCCCTTCGTGTGAAGCTTCCCGCGACCTGTTCGCTTATGTCCTTAATCGTTGCCATTGTCCCATTGTCCTATGAGCCATCTTATCTAACACAAAAGAAAACTGAGACAGTAAGCTAAGAAGGACTTTGGCACACAAGCAGACGCCATCAGGGGCCATGAACGAGCCCATTATCTGGTGCAGAGTGAAGGGCACTTGAGACGAAAGGGTTCTGCAGGCATAGGGTCACCTGCTGTCCATGCCTATGAAAAACACCCTTAAATCCCTCTCTCTCTCTCTCTTACTATACAATTAGGAAAACTGACGCCCAGGGTGGCAAGGGTGTGGAGATGAATACCTGGCTGGGCAGGACAGGGCTATGCTGGCTGTCAGCCCCTTTCTGTTCCCATGAAGGCAGGGCAGCGGGCAGCTGCTAGTGCCGCTCAGATCCCTTCCTCCCCCACTGCCCGAGTACCAGGAGGGCATGAGGCCAAACCCCACCAGTTGGAGCCACTCACTCCTATACTGCAGAGACTGGCTCAGAGTCTAGACAGTGTCCGGAAGGTTGGAGGTGAGAGAAAGACAGAGGGCTGAGACTTCTGCAGCCTGGCTCAGAACCAAGGACACAGCCCAAGGGAGGCCCAGGCAAATGACAGCACGGAGGCAGACCTTCCCCGCTCTTGGTCAAGCTGATGGGGCTGTCACTGGCAGCCATGGAACACCTGATGGCCAAGCAGCCTTATTTGCATCAGGGATGCACAGCATTTTGTCACTGACCTGGCTTGGCCTTCAGGGCCTTCATAAGGCAGCCAAGGGCCTCACAGTGTTCCGAAGCAACACTCAAGCTTAGGGGAAGTCTGGTAAGTGTCCTTGTGAGTAATAGGGCTCTCGGGGTGGCAAGCAGCAGGCCACTGTGTTTGCTTAAACACTCAGGGCACAGGCCAGCACCTCCTGTTGTCCTTGACCCTCTCTGGACTTCACCTGCTGACCAAACAGCCCTGCTTAGTGGGGCCCTGGCGGTGGGGACCCCAGAGTAGACTGCTGGAAACGTCCGCAGCTCCTGTCTCGGCTCCCCAGCTCCCGGTGGATCTAATCAGGCTGAAATCACATTAGCGCAAGGGCACAGTCTCCAAGACACACACCTCCCCAGGCTCAGCAGGACAAGAAGTCTGACTGCTGCTCACTGTCATCTGTCATCCAGCTATGGCCAGGGCTGGGTGGGCGGGGCACATGTGAGCCACAGGGAAGCCTAAGAGCACAGAGGGGCGTTTTCAGGCCCAGCCCATGTGGCCCCACCACAACCACTTCTCGGTTGGGCCTTCAAAGCAACTGACCATGATATAAAACAGTCCTCTCTGGCCTGAAGAAGAGCCCCATCAGGAGAGGCAACCTAAGGGCTGTGGAGACCCCATCGCCCTAGAAGGGCTCGTGGCATGCTGCCAGAGTGAGGACTGGCCTGCCCTGCAGGGCATGTTCTGTGCGGATGTTCCATGCTCGGCACTGAGACGTGGACATAAAAACAACCAGAACAAGGGGGATGTGGGGGGGGGGGTCATCAGCCTAAGGCCACACAGCTAGCTGAAGTC